TTATTCGATTTTAAAAGACAAAATAACAAATAAATTACTACAACAAAACAACAGGTAGAGAAAATTATATGTAGTATTTGATTTTTAAAAGAGCATACGTTTTAAATATTACAACACTGTGAGCCACCGGTTAAGAAGGTTCCACCTATTCAAAGCAATTTTTAATTCCTTAACGAGCTATTAGCTTGTTAGAGGATTAAAATTGCTTCTAATATGCGGGAAAAAAATTTAATTTTTTTTATTTGAGTTTTTTACATGAAATATAATAAACCTTTACATTATTTTATATAATAATTTTAACATTAAATGTAAATAATCTTTAAGTTATCCGACCCGGGAGGTAAATTACGTCACGGTTTAGGGATATAGAAGGAGGGGGGAATGAATAAGTGGTTTTGTGATAACAGTTTTGTGATAAAAGTTACAATGATTTGACTAGAAAATAAGAGTTAAAAAAGGTAGAAAATTGGGTGACGTAATTTGTTAACAACCCCTTTTTCAAAGTTTTGTATATTTGAATAGATTTTTTGCTTCTAATGACAAATAAAGAAGTCCAATATTCAAAGTATTTGATTTTGTTAATTCTTAGCCGTTCTTATAATTTAAAAATCAGTTCTGTCATATATTTATTTAGCAACTTACAGTTATCATATTTATAACAACAATCATCAACTAATGCTTACATTATTTATATAAAAAATTGTTGCGTTACAAATTTGGATACCCCCTCCCCCTCGTAACAAATTGTCACAAAACCACTAACCCATCCCCCCCCTTTCCTAGTGCGTGACGTAATTTATGGACGACCCCTAAGAGCAACAAGTTTACAAAATTTTATTTTACTAACTAAATTTAAATTCATTGACAAATTAAAAATTTCATGCACTAGTCTTTTGTGTTCAAAAAATATGACCATATAAAGTTTGAAACCCCTCAATTTGAAGCGGCATTAAACTTTGGTGGGTCATAAACTAAAAGATTATCTAATAAAACTGAAATTTTTCAATGAATTTAAATTTAACTAATGATAGTAAAAAAACTTGTTGCTTGCACGTTAATGGCAGAGGGGCACAAAATTTTAGGCTTTTTTGTTCTTAGACTCTAAATCATAGCAATTTTTTGCTATGATTAGAGTCATCTGGATGCTTTGCAAAAAATGTCAAATAAGGATATCCTCATTTGACATAAACATTAACATATAAATCTATTATTCCCCATGTATGGAAGATAAATCTTAAACATTAAAAAACTGTGTTTACGCCTATGCTTGCCTCATGTACATTCTAACTTCAATTTTTATAATGTCTTATTTTGCATTTGCTGCTCTGTTTTTGTTTTTTATTATTTTGCTCCTTTTTGACTTTATTTTCCAAGATTAATGAATCCGTTTTTAAAATTTTTCTCTTTCCATTGAATAGTGAACTTGGGTAACTCTAACACTTTCCTTGTTTACTTTAAGGTGTTACTTTGGTTGCAGGAAAAAGTTGAGCAGCTTTTTCAGTTGATTTTTATTTATAAGGTATTGCTTAATAAACTTTTATGATAAAGAAATATCATTAGATGACTTTCAAATCTTGCAAAACAAATATCATATAAAACAACAAAATGCCGTCATATATTGTTTCTATCTAAATAGCGATAAACTCTTTTGATATGTTCATAGAAATGTATTGTGATTATGGGTGCAGTTCTCAAATGCAGAGATTAAAAGATATTTAGTAGATTATTATTTAACTACTTTTTTTGAAGCAATGTGAGCACTGATCCCTATCCCTTTGATTATCGTTAAGTTTTGTGAATTGACAGCGGTTAAACCACATTTATGCTAATTCAGCACCACTCCACTTGTCATGTAATTGACATATATACTTAACTTAGACTCAAAAGAATTCATCTTCTTGTTGGATTGACTCTAGGATTAAAATCCGAAGGAATATTGAAACAAAACTTAGTACTTGCACTTTACTTTAGTAATTTTTGACTAAACTTAAATTTGTTCAAAAGAAAATAAAGAATATAGACCGAAATGTGTTATGAAGGTGGTTTGGTAACAAAGTGTGTTATGAAGATGGTTTACCAGATGAATTATTTGTAGAACATACACTTAAAAACGCCGAGAAGAATTTTTTACAAACAACGTTTTACTTTTTTAAAAAAAAGTTTCTCTCAGCAAGCATATGGCGAAATAGAAAAAGTATAGAAGATAAGTAAACCAAACACTAAAAAATATGTTTAGCATGAAAAATATACATTTATGTAAAAATTTCTGATTATTTAAGTTTTGTTTCTTTAAACAAAATAACGATTAATTAGGAAAATAGCAAGCGTTTTTGTAAAAGGATAGTTAAAACAGTGATGAAGATTTTTCATTTAGAGAACATTGCAACATTGCCACTCAAATGTTTATTTTCTTTATTTTAGACTTTATATTATTTTTCATTTTCAGAATATCTCTGGGATTTCTAACTTTATGGTCAATGACAAAACCTTTTTTGTTTACATTTTTTTAAAAGCTAGACGTACTGAAATAGGTTTAGTTTGGCAAGACAAAATCTTAAAAATTTACCTTTTTTTTCTTTGACAATATTATTTTTGAAGTCATTATATTTCTCCTTTTGCTTCATGGAAGGATTTATAATTAGTGACAGGATAAATCAACAAACCAAAAATAACATTTTTAAAACTAACAATTCAAATAAAATATATGTAGTCTTATTTTTAAATAAAACTACATAAGGAAAATTTGTTCTCCCTAAGTTTTTTATAACTAACGGGCAACGTGAACGTCATATTAAACAAAATCTGCTATAATAGTCACAATTTTTCTGGCTGCCCTAATTTGCTTACTATTATATTTAAAATTTAAACTATACTTTTTTTTAAATGGACGAAGCGATAGAAGGATGCATCGAGTCTTTGCTAGTTAAAGAGTTAGCTAAATGTGAGATGCTTGTAGAATAGAAAAAAGAAAAGGATACTCTTTAAATTTGTTTATTCTCATCCGTAACTCATGTAAAGTGCAACTTTTAGGTAAGCAATAGTCTATTATCTATTTTATACAACTGTTTTTTATTTAAAAAAACATCCGTTGCATTTTATTCATTAAGAAGAAAGTTAAAGACATTATGTTAAGTTGAAATCGGTTTTGTTTTTTTATCCCCTATAACGTTTTTTTATCTCCCATTATGTTAAGTTGAAATCGGTTTTGTTCATTTATCCCCGATAAAGATGGCTCCAAAATCTTAAACGCCGAAACCACCTCATATAAAAGTCCCTAATTAAGTTACAAAACTTACATAAAATTGCATAATTTTTACAAAATTTTATACAAAATTCACATAATGTTTAGATTAAGGTTACATAAAGTTTACATAATGTTCACACAACATTTACATAAAGTTTACATAAAAACTAAAACAAAGTTTACATAAAGTTTACATAAGATTTAAATTCAGTTTACATAAAGGCACTTAAAGTTATATTATTTTCTAAAATGTATTAAATCTGATTCCGATAAAATTCATCTTTTTTCCTGTACGTAACTTTAAGTGCTCTATTTCAATAGCTGATGTAAATTATATAATCATTAGGGCCGGATAAAAGTTAATGCAAAAGTGATAGTTTAATTTAAAACAAAACGTATCCCAATCAACTTCTAATATCTTGTTTAATAACAAAATATTTATAAAAGGGAATTTTTCAAAATTTAAACATTGCAATCACTTATTGGGTGATTGTAAGTATGAGAAAAATACATACAGAGGTGCGCAGAGAATTCATGAAGCCCGGGTTAGATCTTTAAAAATTTAACGGAAGCCCTACCACCACTTAAAAAAAAAAAATTAGGAATATTAAGTACTTCTAATATTTTTGCCCTGTAATGATGCCCCAGAAACGTGCTGCCCGGTAGAAAAACTGACCCGGATCCCCCACCCTCTGTGCGCCCCTGACAACATAAAAGCTTTAAAGGTTAGAACTGATTGAAAAATTGTTTAAAAATTGCTCAAAGATCTGAATATTTTTAATTTTTTTTTTTAAGTTTTAAACCCTTTATTTTCGAATTCAAAGAAAGACAGTGAAAAAAGGTTGTATTAATGGTTTTTTGTTTCTCAAATTTCTGAAAGAGCTCACTTTGTACCTAATTGCGATAAACATAAGAAATCCCCAAAGATCTACAAACCCAAATTGAAGCAGAACAAAACGGAAACTTGAAGATGAATTACAAATTTTTGAGTGATTATTTTGTTTACTTTTTATAAAATTTTGTACGTTTTGAACTTCAACCTTTATAAGAGTCTTAATTTTTATAAATTTTACTTTTATTATCGTTTATGTTTTTTTTCAAATCATACAAATTAAACCAATTCAGATGTATTTGAAATTTAAAAAAAAATTAAAATAAATTAGAAATAAACTAATTAACAGCGCTAGAAATTGGTTTAATTTGGCAAACTTTGTAGCCATAATTAAATAAACAATACTGTTTATTAAATATTCGTTGTTCGTTAAGGTTAAAAGTTATGACGAATTTTTGTTAAATTCGATTTCTAAGGTACACAAAGTTATTATTTGCTATTTGGCTTTTAAAATTTTTATTCTCGGTTATTTAGTAATAACCATCTTAGAAGCATTTATCCTTAAATATGTGTCACTATTCTTAAGGTCAGAAAATTTGCTTCATCCGAGTATATTTTTATTAAACTTCTTAACTTTAATACAATATTCGTTGTAACCAAATTTACTTTCTTCTTTACTTTAATATTCGTTGTAACCTAATTTACTTTAACATAGCTGCACACTGTTTATACACAAAGTGCAGTATATTGTAGCGGTAATGACACTTTATCAAATGTTTAATTTATGATCAAATAACTATAATATTGTAAATAACTATATATTTATAATATTATAAATAACTATATAGATTATAAAAATTTGAAGATAATTTTACTTTCATTCTTGAAAATCGTTTTGCAAATATGTTAGTGTTTTATTTTTAGTACAAAAGTAGCATGTTGGTTCTCTAAAGACAACGGAAATTTATGGGCTGGTAATTTTTTTTCTTTTTCTAACAATTAAATTATTATTTAAAACTATTTACTTATGTTTGTAAGTAAAAACCTTCACTTATTCCATTAACACAGTGCTGTGGCTCAGTGCCGGATTTTTTTTTGTTAAAGCTAATATAATATTTTAATTTTTCTAAATTTCAAGTTAACTTAGTATTTACAAGAATATATAAGTTTTTTTTATTAATGATATTTAAAATCCAAACATCTGATATTTTAGATGTTAATAGTTAAATGAAAGTCATCTGATGTACATATTACTGTAATTTCAAGCCCGTACCGTAAGGAGGGGGGGGGGTGTTCGTAAGTTGCAAATGATCCCCCTTTTCTAACAATTAGTCGTTTTTTAATGCAAATTTTGATATAAAAATTAAGAGAAATGTATGTTTGCTACATTAAGATTAATTGTGATTAGTTGTTACATGGAAGAGGGGGCAGGGCGGGGAATAGGACCGTTAAAATTTTTGCTGATAATTTTAACGACTGACTGTCTCACCTCAACAACTCTCCTTTGATTCGGCTGTGCATTCATTTATTGAAACATTGGTAAGATTTAGATAGGTGAGATTGAGGTTGTTGAGATCCGGACAAATCCGGGGAAAAGATAACGTATGATAACTCTATATATGCTTAAACTACCCTTATCTGTAGATAGTTTAAATTAACCATTAAAGTTTAGCAAACAAAGATCATGTTAGCAACATGACCTTTTTCTGCAGCCAGGTTAAGTTTAACTATTAAACTATATTGTTGCTTATTGCCTTTTGCACTCCCCATTCATGTTTGCAGCCTTGAGTAACTTCTAAAAAAAAGGCTTTTTTTCTGAATATTAAATGCACCACCATACAGCGGTATTTACAACCCATTTAAGAAGCATGTTACACAATTAAATAATGTAGTGAATTTTAAACTTAATTTGTAAACAACAATACTTATTGTTATTGTTGTTGTTGTAGCAAAACAGCATTGCTCTGTAAAAGTAACAACTTCATTGGTAATACACATATATATTTATTGTATATATAAATATAAAGTAATAAGTAAATAATACCAATAATTCAATAGGCTATTTTACTTTTACATAATAGACTAAATTTACACTTAAATAGTAAACTTTAACATAAATCAAAAAATGTAACTTTATTGTCATTGAAATATGTAACATATTGCCCAGTATGTTTAGCATAGATCTTTTTCTTTTATCAGTATTAATTTATTATCATATTATTTTGACAAATTTCATCGAATAATTGGTTGTTATTTTTTTTTACTAAATTTTTATTGCTCTATTTTTTAAAAATTCATTTAGATATTTCTTTGTGTATGTTCTATAAATGGATATTATTTCAAATTGATTCATTCAATTAATATTAACGGTTTTAACCATTTTATTTAAATTAAAAAAAAATTACCTTAATCTTAGAAAATCAAATTCTCTGTCAAAGTATATGTACCAAACATGTATGAAATGTATAAATAAATGTATATAATATAGTAATATTGTATACCAAGATATGCATGTATACAAATATAATAACTGTTTTCAGAAATGGCATCTCGAAAAATTTTTTATACTGCTGAGATTTTATTATAAACTTTTACTTAGAGAATTTAAAAGAAGGCATATTGAAGTCATTTTTTGTTATTATTATTGACTCATTTTTATCACTGATATTTATTATGCATCTAAATTAATATAGGTTACAAATGCATATAACTTGCAATGTGAGTCTAAAAATGTAATTACATCGTAAAACTTACATTGTAAACAAACAAATCTTACATAATAAAACTTATAATAATATCAGACTGATACTATCAAGTAATGTAAGTTTTTTTTTTTTTTTTTTTTTAATTTTATTTTATTTTCCTGTTTATATAAATTACAATTTCTTTTCACCAAAAATAAAATATAATTACAAATGTACAAGTAATAAACAGTCTGGGGTTCAGAGAAGATATGGATGGAAAAATACCAACCTAATCTTTTCATAGAGCCCCTATAGATCATAAAAATAATATATGGTAATATATCGTTGATAAATCAAGTAGAATATTTAGGAAAAAAAAAAGAAATAGTAAAAAGAAAATATAAAATTTAAGAATAAAAATAGAGAAAAAAGATGATGTATCAGTTAAAAGTAAAAACACCTTCAATTAGTCAAAAAAGAAGATATAATATTTAAAAATACATATAGTGAATAAAGAACATATAGTAAATTATATATATATATATATATATATATATATATATATATATATATATATATATATATATATATATATATATATATATATATATATATATAGTTAAAAAGATATAATATTAATAAATACTAATAGTCACAAAAAGTTATAAAAGAATATATTTAAATACAAATTTCTAATTAAATATATGATATTATATTCAACATATAATATATAAAGATTACATATAATATTTAAAAATACAAACTGTTAAATAATCAGATATAATGCTAAAAAAGAAATTTTTTGTAAACGAAAATAAAAATTAATCCGTAAAATTTAGAACGTAAGTTTTTGTTTGAAACTGAAATGAATTTAAAGATTTGGCCATATTTAAATTGTCTTTCAGAAAAGAGTTCCATAGCTTGGGACCTCTATAAGTTATTCTATATTCTGTGTAGTTGTTTACTTTTTAAGGTAATTTATATATGTTACTTTGATTTATTTTTAAGAAATACTTCTCATTTAAATTTTTTTTATATTTTCTTATTAAGATTTCAGGAGTTAGATTATTGGTATATTTATACATAAAGTTTAGGTGTTGGAAAGTATTTATCTGATATATGTTCATCATTGGTCCCCCCTTTTTTTGTTGTATATAATTCTACAAGCATGTTTTTGTAAGGATAAAATTTTTTAAGTTTTGTTGGTGGACAACTTGCCCACGTAATATTTGCATAAGTAATGTAACAATGAATTAAGCTGAAGTATATAAGCTTTAGACTATGTGAATTTAAGTATGGGCGAGTTCGATACATAATACTAATGGTTCTACTAATTTTTGATTGTATATATTTTATGTGTGGGAGCCATGATAAATGATCAATTACAATAACTCCTAAAAACTTTATAGTATCTTGTTTTTTAATTTTTTTATAATTTATAATAAGTTTTGGCAGTTTTAGAGGAAGGTTTTCTTCTTGTGTTTTTTTAAGAAACAAGGTATATTGTGTTTTTTCAACGTTAAGAGAAAGTTTATTTGACCTGAACCAATCATTTACTTTTTCTAATTCAATGTTCATGTCAGCATAAAGTTGATTAATATTGCAGTTAGATAAAAGTAGATTTGTATTGTCTGCAAACATGATAGCATTAATTTTTTAACTTACAAACATTGATTTTTTAACTTACAGGTAAAAGAATACTATGTGTTTTTTAGAATCCTGCTAAACTCAAAGTATTTGAACATTTATTTAGTTTTTTGCTTTAGGAGTTGAATAAATACTCTTGCTAGGCTTCCGAAAAAAATTTTTTGACAGTTTTTATGTGTTTAGATAAATATTTAGAGCTTACTTTTTTCACCAGGGATCTCAGAACGTCAGCTTAAATAATTATTATAGTAATATTGTTGCCAATATTGTTTAGATAGTTATGAATTTCTGCATAAAATATTTATTTTCCATGTTGAATATATTTTTAAATGTTTGGTTTACTTATCTTCTGTACTTTTTATATTCCACCACACAATGCTAGGTTTAGGGACTTCAGAATGCTAGATGAATGAAACCTAATTAAATAAATAAATTAAAAGCTTTTTGTATTAATTTCTTTTCGACTTTATGAAATATATTTTTTGCCTATATTTCCACTAGTAAACCGTCTTCAAAACTCACTTTAGTATGTTTTCTTTAATCAAAACAACACCTAAGGTGAACAAAGAAAATGTTAGCGTTAACTAGGTTTACAGCTTAATGTAGGGGGAAAAATATATTAAATGGTTTTATCAATATAAGAAGACGAACTCAAAAAAAAGCAAAGTACTAAAGAAATGAAATCAGAAAAGCAACTGTGAACAGAGATATTTTCATGTCTGTGTCAATATAGACACAGACATGCTTTGGAAAATATCTCTGTCCGTCCGAAGCATGTCTGTGTCAATATAGACACAGTTTTTTCGTGTTTGAGCAAATTTCCAGACATGGAGAACACTGCTAACATTTATATGTTCATGTTATTTTAAACAAGAATACTTAACATAAAGTTTTAATGATTGGAGTCTGGAAACAAAAAACGCCTTTACAATTTAGAAAAAAATATTTTGTAAACTTGTTGCTCTTGCGTTAAGAGCAGAGGGCCAAATTTTCAACGTTTTTTGTTCCCAGGTTCTAAATCATCTTGAGATGATTTTGTTGCAGCTTCAAAATTTGTAAAACTGCTACAAAATCAACGCAATTTTTTGCAAATGATCTTTATTTAACATAAACATATAAAAGTTTTGAGTGTTCTTTATGTTTGAAATCTCAAACATTAAAAAACTGTTTACACCAAAGGTCGCAAGTATGTTTGAGCTGCAGCTTAGATTCATGAATGCTCATTTTGACATAATGTTTTAATATCTTAATGCAGTACAGCATCATGCCGAGGTAAAACAGCCTCGAACACAATAACGATCAAACAATTTAATCAATATTACCAACAAGATAACGTTATTTTGAATATCATAAAATAAAACGTCAAACATTTGTATATACCTGGTTCCTTCTATATCGTTATGTCTTCGCTGATATTAGATTATATTTTTCTTATTTTCATATTTTTTGTTCATAAAAAGTTATTCAGGGTAATGTTATAAAGGAAATTAATCCAATTTTTATACATTTTTTTTGAATTAGTACCTTAAAACGTTAGGTAAATCTCAAAGTGTAAGGTAGTTTAAAAGTCAATTTTGAGAAGTATGAATTAATTTTTCGCGCGCATTTTTTTAGTGTTGTTTTCGGAGACGTTAAACAACGTT